CTGGGCAAGGCCAGTAGGAGATTCACTAAATCTTACGGAAAAACGTTTGACTATTAATTAAGATGGATGCTCATCATCATCATTGTTATCCATCGTAAAAGATTTCTAGGCCAAGCACAGACAAGGGTGCCTGGATTCAGACATTACCAAATGAAATTAAGAGTAGCAGGTTTAAAACAAGCCAAAGTAAGTACAGACCAAGTCAACCTGTTGGACTCTTTGCCAGAAAATGTTCTGAAGGCCCAGACAAAAGTTTAAAAAAACCTAGCTAAATTCTGGTCCATCGGTGGCTGTCAGCCAGGATGGGCAGGGAGAGTGTCCCTAGCCTTTGTTTGCCATCAGGGATATGGGAATGGGCAACGGGGGATGGATCACTTGGTGATTCTGTTCTGCTCATTCCCTCTGGGGAACGTGGCTTTGGCCACTGTTGGAAGCAGGATAGTGGTTGACATGGACCTTTGGTCTGACCCAGCCTGGCCGGACGTGACCGGCTGCAGAGGAGATGCACAGGCATAGGCCAAACCGATTAGGCAGAGAAGCAGATGCTTTTTCTACCCAAGGAAGAGCAGAGGCACAAAACAGTTGACAGCTGATGGCAACACGGGAGAAAAACCCACGTGCCGAGCCCCAGTGCTGGCATTCCGTCCCAGCTGTTCTGCTCGCCCTGTGGCGAGCAGCAGCCCTTGTGGCACGGGGCTCTCGTACTTGTTTTAACAAGCCGGGCTGCTTACAAGCAGCACGCTGGGCGCGTCTGAGAAGGCACAGGACTAGGCCTGCTGCAAATCTCAACAGCCCTGGGAGGGGATGGGGAGCCAGCCAGGGGAGCCACATGCCCCCAGAACACGGCGTCCCACCCTCTCCGCTTTTCTTTTGTGCGGCTCCGTCTTGACTTGGCAGGCTCCCAGTCTGGCAGAAGAACAAGGAGGAGCGAGAAGGGGAAGAAAAGCAACCTTCCCCCGCGCTCCTCGCAGCACGAGCACGCCGGGGTTACTGTCGGGCATTGCTCTCTTTCCTGCATCTCTGGTGACACGTTCCCTGTAGCCTTTTTGTTCTACATGAAAAAATCATCGCCGCCGCCAGCTGGGCTGGGGGAAGCCAGAGGGGAGGTTACTTCAGGATGAAAGCTCTGTTCCCAGCTCCCAGGCAAGGATGATTTAATAACCTGCCCATGGATCACACTGAGGGGGAAAAAAATCCCAAACAGGCTCATGCAAACCAACAGGCCTAGACAGCGCCTGCCACGGCGGAAAAGATTCAGAGGGCTGGATCCTTAGCCAGGGGAAATCAGCCACGTGCAGCGATTCACACCAGGCGAAGGCTTTGCCCCCCAAATCACTCAGGCCTGGTCTACACATCAGCTTTAAAATGCCACCGCAGGAGCACGGTATGCCGAAAGGGGGGCCACAGCAGGAGCGGTGGGAGAGAGCTCTCCCAGCACTCCATGTAAACGAGGAATGGAAAATCCCGTTTAACCAGGTAGCTGGTTAAATGTTACAATTAACCGGGATCCAGCGGGCAGGGGCTGCTGCAGTCCTGATGAGCCGGCTGCACTGTGGGCTGCTCTGGCCAGGCCAGCCTGAGCCTGCTGTAGACAGGGGGCTGGTCCAGCCAGGCTGGGCCCACCTCACCGTCACATTGGGTGTGTGTGGCAGGACTGCTCCAGTTCAGCCGGGCCACTGGTCATTGGGTTACATCCCTAACATAAACCACCTCCACAAGGGGAGTTACTAACCGTGCGCCCAGCAGTTCCCAGCGCCGTGTCCTCGTTCACACTGACGCTTTACCGCGCTGTAACTTGCTGTGCTTGGGGGCAGGGGCTGGTTTCACACCCCAAGACAGAAAGTTACAGTGCTGGAAAATGTCAATTGTAGATTTAGCCTCAGATCCATAAAACTCCTTCCTCCTGATTTCTGACTACTTCCTCACTGCTCAAGAATTCCTCCATGCGTTTACTCTGTGTGTTTTTACGTCTGACACAGCAGCACGTAAAGACCAGACGTTTGCAAGCTTTTTCATTTAGCCCAGTTCTAAACACAATCTACTTTTCTAGTTGTTCCCAAAAGGTGACACAACTCATGGAAATCTTTTAATACATTTTTATGGAACATATCTCTGGCTCTTCCTGTATTTCCTCCTCTGGAAACAGAATCTTTGTTAGGAAATGTTCTCTTCAGTTTATCTCACTCCAAGCGCTAGACAACTACGGGAAAGCAACTTGCATTTTACCATAGAATGTAAGGAAGCTACTTGAGATTCCCACTGGCCTGTCTGTAAAGATGATGCGGACTGCGAAGGAATCTTGCTTTCTTGTTTTAAAAAAATCAGTAGCATAATCAATGTCCCTCGGGTGTTCTTTTCCCTCATTGTGGCTAGCAAATTCAAGAGTGCACAGTACTGTAGCCAGCTGAAATTCCCATGGCAGGATATTCCTACATTTGTTTTCACCCCAGAAAGTCAAAAGTTTTTCACCAAATGGAAAAGTCTGCATTTTTTTTTTTTTTGATTCAGAAATGTCAAAACATTTTGTTTCGGGTTGGTGCCACCTTAATCTTAGTCTCACAAGCAGCCGTGCCGACATACCTGAGGTCCCAAAGAAAGCCTCTGTAGAGCAGTCTCAGCTCCCCCATCTCTTGACCCCAAGTCCTGTACCTGAACCAACGCTCTCTTTTCGTGAGCTCCTCCTGCCGCTGGTCCTGCTTCCATCAGAAGAGGCAGGGCCCGCCACAGAGTCCCCGCTCCTCAAATCATGGCCCATGCAGCGACTTGCTCTGGAAGCCACTCAGAGAGCTGCCTGAACTCCAGCACGGGAGCCCACGGGTATGTCTACACTGCAGACCTGACAGCAGCACAGCTATCCCAGTGAGCTGCGCCGCTGTAAGATCTCCCACGGGGCCACTCTACGCCAACGAGACAGAACTCTCCCTTCGACACAAATAATCTGCCCCCAACAAGTGGGGAAGCTGACGCGCTCCTCTCAGTGTAACTGGGGGGGGGGGGGGGGGGTTCTCTCACACCTCTTAGCAACAGCAATTATACCACCAAAGGTGCTAATGCAAACACAGCCTTACAGGCTTCCCTTTCGAAGCAACCATCAATGCAAGTGTAACCCAGGCAATGCAAACAATGCAAGACTGTTTAGTTCAAAACTGCCCTGATGCCCGCAAACCGCACAGACAGTCACAGCTCCTGAAATCGGGAACAAGAAACACATTGAATAACGGGAGCGCTTGAAGAGGGAGGCCCCCCGCTGGAATTACAATGTCATCACCAAAATGCCCCCCTTCTTCACACACAGGTGGGATGAGCATGTCTGGGATACTCAGAGCAAAGCGCACGACGCACAGATGACTCCTTCGTGCATCTCCTGTCACGCATGGCAGGACAATATTCAAATACGGTGCGATTTAATGTATTAACCAGCCAGGATGGTTCTGCTAGGTTATTAACTCAGTATAATCAATAGATGCAAGAACTACACTTGGTCAGTCATTTTGCCATGCGAATGAGCGAACAAGAATGCACGCGAAACAATGAATTCACACGGCAGTGGCTCGTTTGGGTAATGCTGACGGCTAATTTGGCTCCTGAACCCCTGAGGCCTGATCTACGTCCCACGGACATGCAGAGCCCACCCCCTTGGGCCTGCCGGTCACTCCCAGTCCAGGACCATGGTACTGCTTGTGTTACCAACCAGCTGGGCAGCAGCGCAGGCCATTCTGGTGGGAATGTAATAAATCCATTAATAGCACCAGCTGAGCCCTACCGGGCAAACTTACTCTAGGCTTGGGGGTAAGCGCAGCTGAGATAAAGCAATCGAGTGCCACTGAAGTCAAAAGAGCTTTGCTGATTTACACCAGCGGAGAAGTAGGGATGATAATGGTTAAGGGTGAGGCTTACCAGTTATAGTTAACCAGTGGGGCCTGCCTCAGTTAACTGGTTAACAAGTTAAACAATGTTTAACTGGTTAACTCATTCAACAGGATTTTACATCCCTACTAAGGAGCTGACCCAACATCTCCTCTCTGGACTGTCCAGCCAGCTTTGCTTTTCCATTCCCACTCTATCCCACCCCAAGGCCTGGATCCTGCAAGGCGCTGTGAGTGAGCTCCAGATGGGCAGCTAGCTCCCTGCTGCTCTTGGTTAATTAAAACACCGGTAGATAACAAGGCAGCCAGTGGGTCTACGCGCAGAGACTGCATCTGCAGCAATTCCTGAGATTCTCCTTCTGGGGCATCCGAGTCAGAAAATAACTGTGTATCTTCTGCCCTGCCTTTGTGTTGCCTGGCCTTTCCATTTCCCCCAGCCCTGCTGCTCCTTCCCCTTGCTCCTGAAGTGCACGCAGCGGCCACTAACAGAAGAGAGATTGCGTTGCCATAAAAACAACATTAAGGCATCCCTGTGAGATCAAGGGGCCACATGGGCTATGGAACCTTTTCTGTCACTCTGGACCATGGGCAGATTCTTGTCAGTGTCTGCAGAGCAGCTTCAGGACTGTTCTCGCGTATCTCAGGCTGCCCATGGCTGGAAGGAGCTGCTCCAACAGCAGGGAGCAAACCAACCAAGTGCATTGGCACAGCGCCCCATCCTTCTGGGTCCCTGCCCTGCCC